TATATATATATAAAGATCGAAATATATAAATATCTATCTATCTATATCTCTCTCTCTCTCTATTTCTTTTTATTTTTTTTTTTTATTCTCATATTTTTTTATATATATATATATATATATATATTTATTTATATATAATTATATACTTATTTTTTTATATTTATATATATATATATATATATATATATATATATATATATATATATATATATATATATATATATATATATATATATATATATATATATATATATATATATATATATATATATATATATATATATATATATATATATATATATATATATATATATATATATATATATATATATATATATATATATATATATATATATATATATATATATTATTATTATTATTATTATTAACTAAATAGTAAATAGTCTATAATAATAAATATATCTAGTATTTAAATAGAAACAAATCTATATTACTTAAATAATTCATAATAATATAAAATATAATAATAATAATAATAATAGAAAAAATAAAAAATATATATAACTAGAGTTCATTATTTATTTTATAAATTTTTTTTATTTTCCTATGAATATTTTTTAATAAAAAATAAAATGATTTTAATAAAAAAATAAATAATAATAATAAAAAAAAAAAAATTAATTATAAGCTCGAGCTCGAGCTCGAGCTCGAGCTCGCCAAAATTGGCTCGAGCTCGAGCTCGAGCCAAAAATAATTGGCTCGATGAGCTCGAGCTCGAGCTCGAGCTCGGCAACATGGACTCGAGCTCGAGCTCGAGCTGGCCAAAAGAGCCGAGCTCGGCTCGAGCTCGGCTCGTTCCCACCCCTATCCGAGGCGGAGCCAGTCCCAAACCTTTACGATTTTGGTGAAAATGTTTGAAAAAAGGGATTTTGACCTATGAGGTGGTTTTAGGCGGGTTGAGGGCCTTGAGGCGGTCAAACCTTGGAGGCGGGCTTTGGTGGGAAAAAATGGGTCAAAAATCGGTTTTTTCTTTTTCTTTTTTAATTCAAAATAAAAGTTGGGATTTTAATAAAAAAATGAGTTTATACTTTATTTTTTTTTATGTTAATTGTTATGGTTAAAGAACATAATGATATATACTTTCAATGTTCAAGAATAAATTTAAAATCAAAACATTTGCGTTTTATTTGTATTTTATAAGGATTATATTGTATTATGAACTAATTATTATTAAAATTTTATTATGTTTTTAGAATATATAAATGATGGAGATATAACCATATTTAAATGTTTTTTTATATATGTTTTGAGTATTTATAAATACTATCTAAAAATATATTATATTAAATTTTAAAAACCGATTTATTTCATATTTATTGCCGATTAATAACCGCCGCCCCGATTAATCATGAGGCGGCGTCTAACCGCGTCCGACCCGATTTTCAGTTTTTAGATCATTGACTGATATTCATACACATACTCATACTAATACTCATACTAATACTATAATACTGATACTAATACAATTACTAATACTAATACTATTACTCATACATATACTAATACGGATACTAATGCTAATGCTAATGCTAATACGAATACGAATACTAATACCAATACCGATACCGATACCGATACTAATACTAATAGTAATACGAATACGAGTACGGATATAAATACTAATACCAATAGTAATACTTATAGTAATACTAATACTAATACAATACTAAAATAATACTAATACTAATACTAATACTAATATTAATGCTAATTAATACTAATATTAATTTTATTACTAATTCTAATATTTTGATATGCTAATGCTAATATATTGGTCCTAATAATACTAATATTAATGCTAATGTTAATCCTAATATGCTAATTTTAATGATAATACCAATTATAATGCTAATTCTAATCTTAATGTTATCATAATCGTTATTCTATTCCTAACCGTAATCGTAAACTTAATTCTAATTATAATTATAATGCTAATTTTAATCCCAAAAAAATTGAATTTTTAATTTTCTCTAAATATTTTTCTATTAAATTAGAATTATTATTTATAACTAAAATTTAAAATAAAAATATGTTTTTACTAAATTATGTTCTTCACAAACATGTTAATGCATTTAGTTATTTCAGCCTCACACTATTTCATGAAAAAAATATTATTTTATTTGATTTTCATTTAGTAAGGGCATAAAATATGATTGATTTGATTAGGATTAAAAGTCGAATCATGTGCCATTTATTATTTTGAAGATTCGTATGAAATTTACCAAATAACACATTTTATTTTCATACACAGATGCAATTCAAAATAAAATGATTCCACTAAATTTGACACCGCAATGGTGGACATGTAAGAAGATTTATAGTTGAGGGGAGGTTGTAATTACCCAAACATGAGAAGTTTTTTCATAATTTGACCATACCTCAGTGGTGGTTGTAATTTACCCAATAAATAATTTATATTTTTGGTACAACTTTCTTAATCGTTTCCAGCAGAAGAACATCTTTGTTATATACTTGCAGGTGATTAATTAACACGGACAAGGTAGCTGCATCGGCTGAGAATCCCCTTTTGTGCCGTTCCTCTAAGAATGGCATTGCCTTGTCAAGTTATTTCTTCTTCAACAAGCAATGAATAATGACGTTGTATGTCACGCTATTCGGTGCGCGGATAACCAAGTCCGGCTGTGGGGTATACCTATAATCAGGCATCGACGGCGGCGCCGGTGGATCATACCCATAACCAGGCGGTGGAGGAGCGTAGCCGTAAACAGGCGGCGGTGTATAACCATAACCAGGCGGTGGGGGAGCATAGCCGTAAAAAGGCGGCAGAGGAAAGCCACCTGGTGTTGGATCACTATCCGGCGCATACCCTAACAGTGGTGGATAATATCCTCCACCTCCATCCACCGCCACCGTCGTCGTAGGGCACGATGGATCCGGCGGGTACCATCCTGCCGTCGGAGAGTATTCCAAACTGGGACCCACCGCTGGGTACGCCGACAACACGGATTCTCCCCACACCATCTCCACCGGCAGCGGCGGCGACGGCGGTGGCAACGCAGGCGCAACAGAGGTATTAATTTATTCGCTGAATTTGTACGAAAATGAAAGCTGGCCTTTGGGCTTCCCACTGGGTTTCTAAACTTGGTAGCTAAGTCATGGGAGGAACAAGCCGACTTAGGTCGGGCTTTGCCTTGAGAAGTCTAGGCAATAAACAACGACCACAAGAATTCGATGTTAGAGGACAAGTCATCGTAAAGCTCTTGCCCCAATAGTTTAAGGTAGGGCTGGAAAAAAATTACCGAATACTGATTACCACGGTATACCTATCAAAAATTACCGAATAAATACCGCTATCGGTTTCCAATAACATTTGGCACGGTATTGGTACCGTACCATTAGTTTACGGTACGGTAGCGGTATTGTATCTTCAATACCATGGTAATACCGTACCGTACCGCAACTTTGTATTTTAAAAATTAGTTAATATGGATTTCATTTTATATTGTTAAATAAAAAAAAATATAGTCAACAAATAATTAAAAAAAAAACAAGAATAAAGATATGATACATCCTATATATATACATAATTATGATTTGTTTTATTCTCTTCATATATTTATGCAAAATTACTATTTGCCTCTCGTTAAGTTGTTTATGTCCGCGCGCACTTCTTTAGTTCTAAAGTCAAACTAATCTCTTATTAGTGGAATTCTTTTTGCAACAATTTTCTTCTCCCTTTCTTTCTCCCTGAGGTCCTAGCCTTTTATTTCATTTGCATTATTGCAACACATTTAATTTTTTGTTTCTTTTACTTAAACCATGAAATTTTCTTACACATTAGTTTCTACAATTTTTCTATAGATATATTAGTAAGCATTAGTTAACTAAAGAAAAAATTTCTACTACAGTTGTATAATGTATATTCATGTAGATTGTTTAATTGCCATATTCATTTGCTTAATTTTTTTTATTTATACATTTATTTAGTTTCATCTTAATTATGGTATTATCCGAATTCATCACCAAAATTATGCACGGTAGATGACCACGTACTGATCATAGCGTACTGAAACTAACGGTATACCGCAATTGTTGGTACGGTAACGATATAGGTTTTTTCAATACCGCAAGATACGGTAGGTACACGATATTGAACAAAATATTTGGCAACCGTACCGAAACCACCCCTAGTTTAAGGCATTACCGTTGTGCCTTGTACGGAGGTATAAAGGACCATTCCCAGTGATCGCCAAAGTCGATCAAGTATCTTATCGCCTAGAACTTCCAAGTTCTTTGAAAATTGATTCGGTCTTTCATGCGAGTTTGTTGAAGTCTTATCACAAAGATAAGGGAGACCCAAGCCAAAGAGAGTCACACCGAGCACCACCCTTCATGACCAAGTCATATGATAAGGAGGTCGAGGAACTGCTCGGCCGACAACTGATGCGATATAGAGGTGTTCCACCGAGTATTTAATACCTCATCAAATGGAAGGGACTACCTGAGTCCGAGGCAAAGTGGGAGACTAAGGAAGACTTGTGGCAATTTCAAGATCGTCTCCACTTATTCGAGGCAAGGAGGACGTTGCCGGATTCGGCGGGGAAGATGTCGCGGTCCGCCAGTTTTGACCCAATCCTTTGTCAGTTTCCTTGGGTTGGGGAGACTAAGAAGTCCAAAACTTAGTCCAAATAGAGTAGGCCCAAGTTGGCCGTGCATATAGAGATTGAAAGAGATATTTGGAGAATTCTAGAAAAGTTTCTAGAACCCTCATAGTTATTTTGTGTGAATTATTTGATATTTTGTGTGAATTATTTGGAGTGTTCTAGTGAACCACTCCTAGCCATTAAATCAAATAGATTTCCACCGTCCATTAAGGAGGTGTCGTAGTATAAATAGGAGTTCATTTGTAATCATTCAACAAATCAAGACATTCAAGCATTTTCCTACAAAGTTCTTGTCTTCTTAAGTTCTTGGTATGTTTCCATCACTTAGCATTCGCAACACTTTCGGGGGCTGACTTAGCTATCGAGAGGGGCGAAAATGAGCTAAGGCGGCAGGGTTCGCTGTCAAGGGAACAAATTCGTGACAACATGCATGCATATTATAACTACATACGTACATTTCTAGCATACGTGACGGCATCTACTATTTGCTTGTACGTACCACATCCAAAATGAACTGTATGCCATCGTATGTGTGCCGAAGTTTATAGTTGGTAGGGGAACTGGTAGTGGAAGGTTGTGGTGAAATGCCGACGGAGGGTTGTGGTGAATTACAGGCGGAGGCTTGTGGTCAACTGCCGACGGAGGGTGGCGAATTGCGGTTGGTTCACGACTTCGGACCAGGCTCAGAGTCTGGCATGTGACTTTATTATAAAAGCAAATTATGTTATTTATATATAAATGGCGAATTACAGTTATACCGCCTCTGAGATAATGTTAAATTACGAAAAAACATCTCTTATTTTCATAATTACAGTCACCCCTCAATTATGTATTGGTTTACGAAAAAAATCATTTTAGTTTATTTAGAGGTGTTTATTCGGTATGGCAAATTTTAGTTTAAATACTAATATTTCATATATATATATATATATATATATATATATATATATATATATATATATATATATATATATATATATATAGATTGAATATTGAACCGAATTACCGGTAATCGGCATGTGCTGGATTTTCGTTCGGTCGGTTAACGAACAGATGAACGCCTCTAG